AGAAGTAGTAAAAAAGGGGACCCCCTGTCCTGTTCCAGGTTTTAAAAAGAATGCTTTCAATTTTTCTCCATTTAGCATGATGTTGGCCTTCGGCTTAGCATAGATAGCTTTGACAATGTTGAGATATGTTCCTATTATCCCTAGTTTTTCTAGAGTTTTAAACATGAAGGGGAGCTGTATTTTGTCAAATGCTTTTTCTGCATCTATTGAGATGATCATATGATTCTTATCTTTCAGCCTATTGATGAATTGCTTTTATTGATTTCCATATGTTGAACAAATGTGCATCCCTGGGATAAACCCTACTTGATCGTGGTGCTCTATCTTTTTAATATGTTTTTCTATTTAATTTGCCAGAATTTTATTGAGAATTTTTTTTTAAAGAGTGAGAGAGGAGAGAGAGAGATAGAGAGAATTTTTTTTTAATATTTATTTTTTAGTTCTCGCCGGACACAACATCTTTGTTGGTATGTGGTGCTGAGGATCGAACCCGGGCTGCACACATGCCAGGCGATCGCACTACTGCTTGAGCCACATCCCCAGCCCATTTATTGAGAATTTTTGAATCTATGTTCATTAGAGATATTGGTCTGAAGTTTTGATTTCTTGATATGTCTTTGTCTGGTTTTGGAATCAGGGTGACATTGGCTTCATAGAATAAGTTTGGAAGCGTTCCCTCTTTTTCTATTTCATTAAATAATTTGAGGAGTATTGGTGTTAGTTCTCCTTTGAAGGTCTTGTAGAACTCAGCTGTGAATCCATCTGGTCCTGGGCTTTTCTTGGTTGGTAGGCTTTTGATGACATCATCTTTTCATTGCTTGAAATTGATCTGTTTAATTTGTGTATATTGTCCTGATTCAGTTTGGGTAAATCTAGAAATTTGTCGAAGTCTTTGATATTTTCCATTTTATTGAAGTACAAATTTTCAAAATAGTTTCTAATTATCTTCTGTCTTGTCTGTCATGATATTACCTTTTTATCATGGATTTTAGTAATTTGAATTCTCTCTCTCCTTCTCTTTGTTAGTGTGGCTAAGGGTTTATTAATTTTGTTTATTTTTTTCTAAGAACTAACTTTTCCTTTTGTCAATTTTTCAATTGTTTCAATTTTATTGATTTCAGCTCTGATTTTAATTATTCATCTCTAATTTAATTAGTAGTGTTCTTTTTTATCCCTTTTGAAATCTTTGGCTTGAAGTCTGTTTTATTTGATATGAGGATGAAAACCCCTGCTTATTTACATATTGGCATGTTTTTTCCCAATCTTTCACCTTCAGTCTGTGGTTGCCTTCTCCTATGAGTTGAGTGTCTTGAAGGCAGCATATTGTTGGGTCTTTTTTTTTTTAAATCCAATTATCCCATCTATGTCTTTTGATTAATGAGTTTGGCCATTAACATTTAGGGCTATTATTGACACATGGTTTGTATTCTCTATAATTTTTGTTTATAAACTAGACTTAGTTTCTCCTTTGATTGGTTTTTCCTTTAGTGTGATACCTCCCTTTGATGTGTTCCATTGTTGATTTATTTACTCCTCATTGAATATTTTGCCAAGGATATTTTGTCATTCAGGCTTTCTAGTTGCAAATTCTTCTAACTTGATTATTATGGAAGGTTTTTATTTTGTCATCAAATTTAAAGCTTAATTTTTCTGGATATAAGATTCTTGGTTGGCATCCATTTTCTTTTAGAGCTTGGTATATGTTATTTCAGGATCTTTTAGCTTTCAGGGTCTGAGTTGGGAAATCTGCCGAGATCTTAGTTGGTTTCCCGCTATGTGTAACCTGATTCCTTTCTCTTGTGGCTTTTAAAATTCTTTCTTATTCTGTATGCTAAGCATTTTCATTATAATGTTCCTGGTGTAGATCTGTTGTGATTTTGTACATTTGGTGTCCTAAGCCTCTTGTAATTGATTTTCCAATTCATTCTTCAGGTTTTGAAAATTTTCTGATATTATTTCATTGAATAGATTTTTTATTCCTTTGGTTATGACTTCCTCTATCCCAATAATTCTTAAATTTAGTCTTTTCATGTTATCCCAAAATTCTTGGATTTTCTGCTCATGGTTTATTACCATCTTCACTGTGTGGTCAACTTTATTTTCAAGATTATATATTTTGTCTTCATTGTTGAGGTTCTGTCTTCCAAGTAGTCTAATCAGTCTGTGATGCTTCCTATTGAGTTTTTAATTTGGTTTATTATTTTCTTCATTTCAAGAATTTCTGAGTGTTTTTTGTTCAGAGTCTCTACCTCCTTATTAATCTTTTGCTTCTTATATTTGCTTATGTAGCTCTTTATCAAAATGATCTTTTGCTGCCTATATTTGCTCTCTTATCTCATCCTTTAATTCACAGAACATTTAAATTATATACCTCCTGAACTCCTTCTCTGATATTTCTTCTGCTGTGCTGGACATGCATTCTAATTATGTAGTATTCTGGTTTGTTTGTGGACACTTTATTCCCTTGTTTTTTTCATGTTGCTCACGTTTCTTCCTTTCTATCAGTGCAGATCTGAGGTGTTACTGTTTTTGCCCTATAGACTTATAGTGTCCCTGCAGCATTCCAATACCTCTCCTTTAAGGGGGAGATCAATATTAACAGAGATCAACACAACTTATATACAGCCTTAAACCTAATTTTGTCACCTTATACAGAAATATAAATTCAATTATTATCTACAATATAAAGAGTAGGTTTGCAAAAGAGTCTACAATTTTTAATGGTAGACAAAGAGAGAATTACAGTGGAGGTATAGGATGAGATGATAAGGAGGTAGGAGGATATAGAATTATTGGATCTTAGGAAACATGAAAGAGGAATCCAAAGAAGCTGGCTAGTAGCAGGAGAAAAGAGAGGAAAAGATTTTGGGGAGACAAGTAAGTGTAAAGACAATAGAGAGAGTTCAAGAAACAAACAAACAATAAAAATTAAGAAAAAGAAAATATGTAAAAATAGAAGATAAAAGAATATACAACACAACTGTAATATGCAGTTCAGACATCCCAGTCCTCAGTAGACTAATGCATGTAAAGTACTTGATTTTACAAATGTTGGGGATATGAGGGTGAGAAAAGAGAGTGAAAGAAAAAGAAAAAGAAAAAGAAATATTGAAGGAAAATTAAACGATTGTTTCTATTGGAGTTTAGCATCTTTCCTGCTTCCCTTCTCATCCAGTAGGCAAAGTTATCTGTTGTTTGCTGGTATCTCCACCCTCAGGCTGGTGAAGGTTATTTGAGTGGGAGGTTTGGTATTGGGGATGGAGGTGGGGTATAGCACTTGCCAGTCCCTGATGAGAGACTGCACCCCAAGGATCTCCTTTGGGACCTGATCATGTGATGGGGGCACCTGGTCTCCTTATATCACCTATAGACCTCACAATTCCTGGTCTCTAATGTAGTCTCACTATATTTCACTCAACTCATCCCTTTCTACTTCCCAATCCAGATTTCTTGTGGGCTGCATCCTCTGAAGCCTGTACACCTGTCGAGGAAAACTGTTTTGTATTGGGCAGGTGAGGGACAGTCTTTTCAAGCTACAGACCGGCCATATAGATGCAAGCACTGTACCTAGTTAGTGGCTATGGGGACTGGGGGAGTTGAGGAACTATAGGTTCCTTGATATTGCTTCTAGGCCCCAGCTGGTATCCCAAGCTGGGAGTTACCCCAACTATAGATGGCAATAGTGGTAGCAAGGCAAATGGTGGCATCAAAGGTGTCCCAAGATAGAGGTGGCTGCTTTCAGAGATGGGGCATTGGGGTAGGCTGGATGGTGGCATTGGGTGGCATGTTCAGAGATGCAGCTCTGTGGTGTGAAGTGTTGTAGCTAGCAGCTGTCTCCAGACCCTGTCCAGTGTCCCCAGGTGCAGGCTACCACATGAAGGTAGCAGTTGCAGTGTCCCTAGATGGAGGAAACTGGGAGCCCCACATTGGTAGTTGGGGGTACACATGGGAGTGGCAGCTGGGGATCCTGCACAGAAGCCATGGCCAGGGGTCCTGAATGGGCAAACCCCCAAGGGTCCTGCACAGATGCTGAGACCAGGAGACCTGCACAGGCATGGTGGCCAGGATTCCTGCACAGGGGGTCCTCTAATAACTTGCAGAGAAATAGTATTACCAGTGCTTGAATCCCAGGTCATGGAGTGACAAGAAATGCAGCCTCCCTCTAGCCCACCATCTTGGATCTCCTGTAAAATTACTTTCTGGTCTAGGATGTGATTGACTACTTATTGTGAGTTCATATATACTTTAAAAAGATTACATGTTCTGAAATTGTAGTGCCCTAACTTAGTATATCAAATTAGTGACTGAATGAATGAGTCTTTGCCTTTCTCATGCCTGAATCACTGCCTGATACCTTTTCCAATACCTTGAATTATTGGAGACCAAGATCCTGTCTTTTTAAAGCAACTCCTTCCAATCTGGCCCTATGATCAGAGTCCTACTCCTGAACTCAGCACAGGGGTGGGGTGTATGGGATTCCTTCAGACTATGCCAGGAAATGGTGGTTTCACCTGTGTCTAGTTACTCCTCATGGAGCACCAACCGTTTGCCTGGACAACCCATTACCTTGTACTTAGAGGACCTCTCTTTCAGGACTAGATCTTAATTCCCTGTATAGATCAACCTGCTGGACTAGGATGGAAAATATCCCTACATTTGACATTTCCATGCTACTTTAGTCCATAGAAAGTCTAGACCCAGGACAAAGTCTTCCCCACTGTGTCCTACCCATCTTTTTTCTGTCTTTTCTTTTCTAGTTTGAGACTGATGCTTATGATCTGTCAATAAATGTACAGTTTCACAGTCTACAGTTCCCATTCCTGACACAGCCATGTCTGTATCAGGGAGACTCTAAGGAGAATAGTGCAGTTTTCTATCAATTTATGCTAAGCCTCACTATGACACCTGCACCTTGGATTTCTGTCCTGATCTTCTCTTCTTTCAAATCCATTCATCCATCCCTCCTGCTGTCTCATGAGCTTGATCTGGCAGAAATCTCCATGGCCCTCATGCTCATGTTGGCTCTCAGTCTCCTCCAGTTTGGGTCAGGTAAGCCATCCATATGGGACTGCTTTCTATCCACATACTGTTGAACAATTTGATTTCTCCAACTACAATGATTATTGGCACAATGGGACAAAGGCATCTTTGTTATTTGTATTCTCTCTGCTTCTCCTTACCTCCTAGCTGCATCTACCAATTCCAGGGGCTCTGAGAGGATGGGCAGTGTGAAGGACTCAGGCACTCTGGAAATAATTATGGTAGCCCAGAAATAATGAGAGTGGACAGCTGAAGAGATACTATGACAATGGGAATGGGACACACTAAATATGTTAAGATGAATAAATTTAATGTTGTCTCAGCTGAACTGTGGGGGTTTAGTACAGGCGGGTCTCTAGTAGAGCACCCACATGTCTGACTTAGTTGACTTTTTAGGATGTTTGAGAGAAAACAATGTGTCCAGCTGTGAACATGCTGAGTTGGGAATGCTTGTGATTATAGAAACAAAGGAGGGAATGGGTCCAGACCTTTAATTGAGGAATCAGTTGGAACCTGGCATATTCTGGGTGCTGTCCTCCACCTTGAATAAACTTATTCCAAATGGCAAGAGAAGATCTCAACAGAGAGGCATAAGTCAAGTTCTAGAGTGGAGTTGTCAGTGGGCAGGGAAAGTTTCCATTCTACTGCAGAGAAATTCAGAGTTGGACAGTGAGGAGCAGGACCTCAGGATCTGCTACTTCATGTCAGCAGATGGTAAGAGACCATCCTGAATAGGCTCAGTTTATTTAATAAGACTCTTCTTGAAGATGCATGATAAAATACATTTTATAATTATTTATAAAATATTTAAAACAAGAAATAATTAAACTAAAAATTTAAAATTTCACTTATTTGGGTATTTACATGTAGGACTCACTTGTCTTTTGTTGATTATGCACCAATAACATGTAGATGTATGCATATCATAATAAACATATGTGGATTAATCAAGAGACATTCACAAAGTAGTTACATATATAGAGGTTTAATGGAGTGGTCATCCACAGTTTAGGAACTCTTCTCAGAGTAAATCTATTCAATATAGCATGGCAAGCATGTTCTGCAACAGGAACTTGCTTAGGAAATAAAACAGCATTCACCATTTATCCTTATAACCCTTGTTTTTGTTGGGCATGGTGCTAGACCCAAGGGATGCTATGCTGAGCAAAACACACAGGTCCTGTCCCTTGGAGCTGAGAATTATGGGGCGGAGACTCACAAAAACACAAATACTCACCATCCTTCAGACAAGATGATCAAATTAAAAATGAAGATGAAGTTGTATGAGAAAAAATATCAACAAAATTAAGGTATGTATATTAGCTCAGGCTACCATTGCAAATACCACAGACTGGGTGGCTTAAACAAGAGAAATTTACTTTCTTAATGCTTTGGAGGTGATGGAGGTGAGAATTTCAAGATCAAGGTGTCAGAAAATTTGATTTTTTTKGGGGGGACTGATAGTCACTGTGTCCTCACATGGCTGTTCCTCCATACACTTGCAGAGAGAGAGGGAGTAGGGTGCTCCAATATTTTCCCCTCTATTATAAGGACAGCAATCTCATTGGAAAAGAGCCCTTCCCTCATGATCTAGTCTAATCCTAATCACTTACCAAAGGTCCCATCTTTAGATACCATCACATTGGATATTAGCCACAACAGATTATTTGGGTAGGGGAACATAATTCTGTTAATTACAGAAATACATGTTGATAAAACATTAGAAGTGCTGCTTAAAGCCAACATTATAAGGTGGAAAAATTATCAAACAAGTGTAAAAGATGCACTCCATGGAAGGAATACGTCAAAACATAAGTGCATCAGAGAACCAACCTCTAAGATAAAAATGGCAAATTCTCCCTGGCACAGTGTCGAACATGTATTCCAGAATTTTGCAGAATAAGTACACAGATAATAAGGAAACACAAATAAAACTTTTATAGGTAAAGAATATATATTCCTCTAATTGTATTGATAAAACATTTACAAAATGAGGAAGCAAATTACTGCAAGATGGAGATTTAATCACCTCATACTACTCTTCTAAGTCATTGAAAAAAAGGGTGTTCTTTGCATTTTTGCCAAGGAAATAGAAAAAAAGAACTGTTTTGAGTTTTTAGTGAGCAGATTAGTAGAGGAAAGATAATGTGTGTATATACTCTCCTCTGATGAAAAGGTCCACTTTTGGAGAGGGTGCCCTCATGCCTCTAGATAACTTACTTAGTGACATGAGTTTTTCACCTTGAGAATGACAATGTCAATAAAATACACTTCTCAGGTCTTTTGGAACCAAATGAAGTAACTGGTATGAATATGTTATGTCAATTGTAGGAATATGCAGATATGGTATCTCTGGGCTTAGAAAAGGGATCATGACGAATGTTCCATTCATGAACATCACTGCCCTAAGTAGGTTTTGCTTACTTTTCTTTTGTGTTTACTCTCACAGGCCAGTGGCAAGTTATTGGGCCAGACAAGCCTGTCCATGTGCTGGAGGGGGAGGATACAATCTTCACATGCTTCCTCTCTCCTGAAACAAATGCAGAAGCCATGGAAATGAGGTTCTTCAGGGATCAATTCTCTGGTTTGGTCCATCTCTACAGGGATGGAAAAGATCAGAAATATATGCAGTTGGCAGCCTGTCAAGGGAGAACTGTTTTGGTGAAGGACTTCATTGTACATGGACATGTCTCCTGTAACTAGAAAAATTCAATTCCTCAGATGCTGGCCTGTATGGATGATGGTTCTGCTCCCAGACTTATGAGCAGAAGGCCACTTGGAAGCTACAGGTGTCAGGTCAGTTGCTTAATTCTGAAAATTCAAGACTTCATTCAAATAAAAATTTCCTGAACTTAAAAATGTTAAATCAAAAGGTTTAAAATCCAGGATTATTTATTTACAAAACAATATGCTATTATTTTTTTCATTTGTGTGCATAGTTCTTTTTTATCCTATATTCTAGCCTATGAAACTACCACTTTAACTATCTTATTACCACAAAGTCCTCCCTCAGTTACACTTTCAGTTACACTCATCCTCCTTCATCCCTAAAATCCACCAACACTTGGCAATCTATTTTCCATTTCCATAATTGTGTTATTTCAAGAGTGGTATATAAGTAGAATTATACAATATATTACCTTTTAGGATCATCTTTTCCCACTCAACATCATGCTCTTGAAATTCAAGTTGTTGCTTCTGTTAAGGTTTTCTTCCTTTTATTGCTGGATAGTATTATCAGGTATGGATACACCATAACTTGTTTAACCACTCATCCTTTGAAGGAATGGGTTGTTTCTATTTTTGGTTTATGACAAATTAAGATGTTAAATAGGGGGTTGGGGATATAGTTGAATTGTTTGAGTGCTTCATTCACATGCACAAGGCCCTGGGTTCAATCCCCAGCACCACACACACACACACACACAAACACACACATACACACAGAAGATGTTATGAATATTTGTGCATAATGTTTAATTTGGGGGGAGAAATGCCTGGGAGTGTAATTGCTGGGTTATAAAAGTGCATGTTTTAAAAGAAATTGCAAAATTGCTTTCCAGAGTTGTTATGAGAAGCTGCTTCAGAAAACACTCTAAGTCCGAATTCAAATCAAAGAGAGTTTTATTTATTTGACCAGGGACTGTCACCCACCCATAGAGACTGAAGTGTTGTGGGAGAATAGTCATTTCCTGGCCTGTGTCTTGGGAATTTAAAAATGAAAACCACAGCTCAGGGACTTTCCTTAGCGTCAAGCAAGCAAGCCAATCATAGAAGCTAAAACAGCAGCTAGCATAGCAACTCAGACAATCGCATCTTGGGTTTAAACAGGTGTTAGATAACTGTATCCTGGGTTCAAGCAGCTGGTTAGCTGGGGTGAGAATCTACTTCAAAGTCTTGGGTCACCAAGACAACCATATCTTGGGTTGAGTACATTCTGTGGGGTACAAAGTACAGAAGATAATATATTATATTATTTTATTTGTTTTAATTTAGAAGAAAACAGCTTTTCAGTTTCTCAGAAACAGCTCTTGTATCAATTTTTTTTTAATAGAAGACAGCAAAATGGAGTTTCAGGCCTGCATATGACAGTTCTTGCTTTATAATTGTCTTACCTCACTTATCAAAATCTTATATTTATAATCTATATGTATATATTTTACTAATCTATAGCCTATAAATTACACTCTTATTGGTTGTATTTATCCATTCACACCACAATAGGTATTATATTTTATGTTCCTACCAACAATGTATGAGTATTTCAGTTTCTTCTCACCAGCATTTGGTATTCACAGTACTTTTAAAAATTTTAATTTTCTCAACACAGATTACCAAAGAGGTTTCCACTTTATTACAAAAGGCTGTGTGTTTATATAGGTCTAAGGAGAGGTCGCAGGGCTGAGGTAGATAACAGGTCGCCCGTTTATTGGCAAGCTCTTCCATATGTCAGTTCCGGAGCCCAAGAAGTTAATTCTAATTGGGGCTAAGGCTTCCCACCAGCAGGGTTTGAACATTGGCACTGGGGGAACATTTCATGCCAGTGAAAGAAACAAAGAGGAGAAAGAGGGTCGTTAGACGCCATGCTGGGGTTTTTCTCTGGGGTGCTGCTGCCGTTATATGTTTTCCCAACACTTAGGGCCTCACTGAGTTGCTGAGGCTGACTTGGAACTTGTAATCCTCCTACCTCAGCCTCCTGAATTGCTGGGATGAAAGTCATGCACCACTGTGCCCTGCTGATTTTTTTAATAGTGAAACATTTAAATTCTATTCTTAGCTCTCTCTCTCTCTCTCTCTCTCTCTCTCTCTCTCTCTCTGTGTGTGTGTGTGTGTATGTGTATGTGTGTTCTATAGCTATGGTTTGTGTATGTATGTGTGTGTGTGTTGTTACCATAAGTTAATGTTTAACATCCTAAAGGTATAATGAAAAACCAGCCTCTACCTCAGAGCAAAGCCTGTCCAAGGAAGGGACATGACCTTTGTCCTTGGAAAAACCCACAGAGCACTCCTAAGCACATTCCCACCCTGCTAAGTTGTTTATCTACAAATAACAGGAGAGATCTGCTGCGCCAGGTGTCCCTGAC